TCAGCTGCTCTAAGCCGTGAGTGATGGCGAAGGCTTCGGCTTGTCGCCCAGCTTCATCCGTTCTGTTAGAGTGTACGAGCCAAGCAGTGTTGTATACATTGAAATCGCCCATGATGATGATTTCTGCTGCTGGATGGTTCTGTTGAATTTGGTCAAGCTTCAGAGACAAGAACTCGAAGAGCTCTTCATAGGATGGATCATTTGGTGATAAGTAGAGAAAACAAAGGTATTTGGTCTGTTTCTGGCTATCGAGTTTGAACCACATGACATTAAACTTATTTGGTTCCAAAGTTTTTTCTCGTTGGCATGAGAGATTCGTTTTAGAGTAGAGGCAGAGACCTCCCTTGAATCTGAAACGTCTGTGGAGTTCGTACCCAGGACAGAGCAGATAAGTCGTATTGGTGGAAGACTGTGTCTCAGTAAGAGCCAATATGTCTGGCTTTTCAATTTGAAGGTGTCGATGGACATCGTTGATGTTCTTACTTAGACCTCGAATGTTACATACATCTTGAGGACTTTTTCAGTCGATGGTGAACCCCCTCTAGACCTCTCGCCCGGAAATCCGAATGGAGAGGTATTTTACTTCCGGATAATTTTATTTGAAGAGAACTCATCATCGCTTATTCTGTACAAAGAAGGGAGGCTGGCGTGGAAGGAAAAGGAAATTGGGTTGGATTGGGTTGGCCGGAACATCAACCAGCTACTGAAACACGGGTAAGTATACCCATTTCACAGTGCCTATGGTTGATGTGGTGGTATCGCACCGAGCGATAGCGTTAACCATCTTCCACCTATTGGCGTCCTTTTAGTCGCCTTCTACGACAGGCAGGACTTACCGTGGAGTTATTCTAATCCGACCACCCTGTGATGATTCGTGTCAATCGGTTAGCAATAGGCCTTATTTGATATGTATCTTTCATGATTCTATGGAGCAGGCACTCTCGTTTTTGTTAATAATGTTTTTGACCAGTGTTGCAAAATTGATTTTTTCTCCAAATGACATTAAAAGTGGATTTTCAATGACACTTAATAGGCAGAAGAGGTGTACTTTTACTGCCTTGGCAGAAAAAGTTTGTTGCTATGCAACGTTCGGAGTAATTTGAATCAAATTGGTAATCAAAATTGACAATAACTTTGGGTGAACAAAAAATGGTGGATTATTTGGACTTTGCGAGGAATTGAAAGAATTTGGAGAAAATAGTTATTTGTTTAACTAGGCAGCAAAGTAGTAGATTGACTGCCGAGGCTGAATTCATAGCCGAGCGTAGCGAGGCTAGGGATTCAGCTAAGGCAGTCAATTTACTTTGCTGTCGAGTTGAACATATAATTTTTTCTCCGATTGTTCATAATGATGTAGGAGGATATTGTATTTGCAAGTTATAACAATTCCCACAATCTCTTTATTTTTTCTGTAGTGTTCAATTAAAATAAAATTTGATAGAAATCGCAGTTGTTGGAATGGTTGGTTGCTATGAGATGTCCATAATGATTATAGTTTGACAATTCATGAAATTTCTGACAGTTGTGCGAAAAATTTAAATTATTATATAATGGACAGTGATAGCGACCTGGAAGTACTTACTCCTCCAGAAATAAGGGAGGTGGCAAAAACATATGTTTTTTAAATTCTTGTTGAAAGTGTTATGTAATATTTGCTAATAAATGTTTACGTCAAATGTCTTTTTCCCATTGAGTATAATCACTTTGCTGCCTAGGCAGGAAAAGTAATACTTTGCTGATTGATATGTGTCAGCAAAATTAATATTTGCTGCCAATCGGAGAAAAAATTATATGTTTCACATGACAGAAAAGAAGATGTAATGCCTTGGCTGGTCTCCTAGCCTAGGCTATATGAAACGCCAGCCGCGGCATTAAATCTTGTACTTTTGTGCCTAGTAAAACAAATAACTATTTTTTTGTTATATTTTTTTACGTGAATATCACTGAACCGATTTCAATTAAATTCCAGGATTATGTAGGTAACCACTAGAAGCACTCAAATGTGCAACAAAATATATAGGATGCCGTTTAAAATAATATATCATTATGACGTCACACTTTTTTGGGACACCCTGTATAATAGAAATTATTTTCCGGGTATGCGCCCTATGAAACAATTGAGGGACTCAATGCATGAACCGGCCAAGTCACATAGAGCAAAATGTTGAGGAGAAGAAAAACCGATTTTGAGGTTGAATCATATACATAGCTGTGTTCTTCTCATTCGCAGGTGATCTTAGTTTGTTAGTTTTTAGCAATATTGAGATCTGTAGCAGACGGATCTATGAGAAATTTGAGAAAAATGAACTAACTTGACAGGTCTATGCAAAGTTTTTCGAATTTTTTTGAGGTGAAATAAAAAATAATAATACATTTTATATGCAAGAAACATTTTTTTATTGAATTCCAGAATGAAATACTTGGAAACAATGTTCAATTCGACAGTTAATGTAAATCTGGGATATTTTTATTCACTCATCATTACTCATTTCTGATATAGAAGTTTCTTTGTTCTCTTGCAGGAAAATCTGGTGATATTCTCTTATTCTGTCATAAAACCATTGATCACACTGTGACACGTAATTCTTGATGACATGATCAATTTTTTTTTGAGGTTTCTTTTTGCATTGTACAATCTATTTTCATCATTTGGTAATGTGAGGGATTGACCATTCCTCTTATCTCGTAACTCAAACGTAGTGAACAAGATCATTGATGCGGTTTCGCTATACATTGGGATGATATTGTTTCACTATCTTGTTTTTCGTATCGCATGATACGATACTTCGAGATAGTGAATTTGTTATCCTTTCTCGAAAGATTCCTATAATAATTGAATGGGTCATTTTTTGACCAGGAAGCCATTCCGGACATTTCATCCAGTGGTGCCCTAAAGGGGGGTGTGGCAACTTTTCCTCCCATATTTTCTAAGCCACTGATTAAATTTAAATTATTTCCAATTCCTCGAATTCATTTTTCAATTTTGTTCAAAAAATGAGCTGAAATGAACAGTTTTCAAGATATTCAACCCAAAATAGAATATTGCATAGTAATATTTCATCATTTTCAGTAGTAGAAAATTGCAAAATTATTTTTCTGGTGTTTAGTAGATTAGATACTATTCAGATCTCATTCTGTAGCTGAACAGAAATAGTTATTCCACGCATAAAGAGAAAACGAAAATTTTTGTAATCTTCTACTACTGAAGAAGATGAAATAGCTATTTGTGTATTTAGAGCGCAAAGTGATAGATTGCCGCTCGACAAAGAAAGTTACCGCGCGATGCGGAGCGGAGCGCGGTAATCTTTGGAGAGCGGCAATAACACTTTGTGCTCAAAATACACACAAGATTTTTTCGACTAACGCAGCTTCTGGAAATAACTACCCTGAAAGAATGAGCGATTGAAATAGTTGAAAAAGTTCATATCCATATGTCCAAAGGAAACAAAAAAAAAATTTGAATAGCTGACAAGCCAGAAAAAAAATGTCGGGCCTACCGAGAATTGAAACTGGACCACCAGCGTGGCAACCTGAGCTTCAGACCTCTGAGCTATAGTACGATAAACTCTGCAATCAAATTGAACATTACTCATTCATGCAATAAAATAAAGATACACTGTTTTTCTGATGACAACAAAGAGTTTAAATATAAAGTATAATTCATCGTTTTCAACAGATATGCTTCATCGGGAGCTTCTTGTAGAAATTTGTTGGTATATATCTCCAGCGGTGAATGTTTTGGATTTTTCTCGCTTTATATCCAATAGATTGTTTCTTGAGAAATGCGATAAGTTTCAGATACTTATTGATTCCGATATGATCTTTAACATTCAAGCATGTATACGTACCATCGAATATATAGACCAATGAGTTGATGACTTCAAAGTCTTTGATTTTTTACCAAAATAAGCCAGTAAAACGTTATCTGAATACATATTCACCATCTCGAAATGGCACCAATTTATGAATGATTCAACCAATTTATGAATGAATCATATTGTAATTCATATTTCTTCCTTGATTTCTCCGGTAAAAGATTCAAACTCTTGCGCTTTCACTATTTTCCATCATGAAAGAATTGGGGGTTTTCAAGAATAGATAAGTATAGGTTACAGAGATGTGCGAGCGTTTTTTCAATATTTCCGCTCACGAGCGCAAATGCTGTCAAAGAATGACATTTCTGGGGAAACGTCAACTTTTTGCTGGAATTTGAAAGCGTCAAAGGCAACTTTGTTAAGCGTTTGTAGAAAAAATTATTATGCAAACTTCTATTTTGGGTCAAATATCTCGATAACTGTTCATTTTAGCTCAGTTGAAGATGATGCAGTTTTTCAACATAATTGAACAATCAATTCGAGGAATTGGAAATAATCGAAATTTCATCAGTGGCGTAGAAAATATGGGAGGAAAAGTTCTGTAGCGCACCTCTGGGTAAAATTCTCGGAATGTTCTTCTGGTCAAAAAATTAACCATTGAGAGATAAAACCATATACCGAATTTGAATGCATTATATCACAGTTGAGAGAATATAAAATATACTAGCTGTGATTATATTCAATTTTTCTTGAGATATTACGAAAAACCTATTTAAATTTCTTAACTTCAACGCCCTGTATCTTGAGAACTGAACACTTGAAGACCGTATGTCCCTATCTCAGTGATTATGAAATCAAGAGGGCTATCACCTGTCAAGCGTTGTCGGTCGAATTTCGCAACACCCTGTATACATACCTACCTTAAAAAATTCAAAAATATCTATAGGCTTCTATTTTATTATTCCTTGCCATTTTATTAGTTAGGTAGGTATATACCTACTGTCAGAACCAGAATAACCTACAACGAAAATGCGTTATCGTAGAACTCGGTTTGGAATAATTGCTATCTAAAATAATAGGCAAGTGTGTAGGTAATAATCCATATACCAATTATAGTCGCATATAGTCGTGAAATTCCACGTCACTGATGGCTGATTGACCAACCCTGAGTCATAAACTGTAGCTTTTGTGTTTAATCTCACTGGACACAATACGCAGTTCAAATTATAATCTAATTTCAAGATAAATTCATGATCGAGTCGCAGCTGTATCCACTAGTATCCGCAACTTAGTGACCGATCAGTTTTCAACAGACGCTGCTTGATTTACACATCAACTAGCTGTGAAAAAAATGGAATCAAAAACATTATTAGTATTTGCCGTTTTGCTGTTGAGTCTTGGTGTTTATTGTTATGCGGCAGATATCGAGGATTGTGGTATGTACCTACTTGAAAAAAATGTTTTTGTACAATTATCCGATTATTGTGGATTTATTCATGTCAAAATTTCATCCATTATAGAAAATTGGGAATGAGAACACTTCATACTTATACAGGGTTTCCATTGAGAGGAGGTCAATTTGCGAGTCAATTTGTTAACCATTATACAGGGGTGTCATGAAGAACTGTACAATGTACAGGCTGTCCCATTTTCGATGTCCTTACGGGATATCTCGCTTATTATCCTTTTTCAGTATAGTTTGTGAAAAATAATTGTGAATAAACCATTATTTTCTGTTCGACTATCTTGAATTATTTGAATCGATGACCATTAACATCTAAACAGATACCTCATCCACTAATTTGAAAAAGATCTACAGGGTGATTATTACCCTCCACAAAAAATTAAATGACGAAATCCAGGCCTGAAAATGAAAGAACATGTTGATTTCCATTGAGCTAAAGCATCAAAAATGTGATTCTTACTTTTATTTGTGAAATTTATGCGTTGCGAAGTAATTATTTTTGAATGAATAAATTTGTTGTCAAACTTTCGTTTTTGCTTATAAATTATCGTTTTTTAAAAAATTCTGTGAAAGTGTCAGGAGAATTTTGAATATTTGATTTTTGATGCTTGTTTGTGTGCTTTGAAAATTCCCATTCAGATTTTACAAAAACCATATACAGAATGAACTTTTTGATAAAAACTGAACTATCGAAATTTTTCAAAAACGGTCCTGGATTTTTCTGATTCTGAAAATGTCACTCGATTAGGGTTCAGTTGAGAAATATTCCATGAAAATATCAGACAAATCGAAGGAGCTGTTGAAAAGTTATGCTCAAAAGATGTTTTTGCCAAATCTCATAATTCACCCTATACAGGGTGATTCAGGTTTTAAGGCACAAACTGAAATGGGAGATAGATCTCATCATTTTAATCAAAAAAGTTCATATATACATTAGTCCGATCTCGTTCAGTAGCGGAGCTATAGGGGGTCAAAGTTGAATTTTTTTTTCTAATAATTGAAATATCTCGCTTACTTTCCAAGATATCATTTTGAAATTTGGTGTGGTCAATACTTTCTAGAATATCATCATTTCAAGCATTTTAAAGATTTTCAAAATCTACAGGGTAATACGTTTTTGGAGGTAGAGGCTTCTTTATCCCCTTCAAACTCTTTCGTAGTACGCCTCTGGCATCTTTCAGTGATCAAATTGTGTGGATCGTTCAATTTAGAGGCTTTTTTTGCTCCTCAATTTTTTTCGAGAAACGAACTGTTTTTGAGATAAATAAGCATATACGTTCGAAAACATGTTAATTTTGCTTATGTTTCGCTTAAATTTTATTCTCTGACAAAATTCGTTGAAAATGCAAAATGCAACAAAATGTTCTAAGATTGCAATGTTCTTACGCACGTTACTGATCCAGATTGGACTCGTGATTTCAATTTTAGTGAGTACATTTCATTGCATTTATCGTCAAAGAATAAAATATTTAAGCGAAACATAGGCAAAATTAAAATGTTTTAGAACGTATAATTATGCTTATTCATCTCAAAAACGGTTCGTTTCTAGAAAATAATTGAGGAGCAAAAAAGCCTCTAAATTGGACGATCTACACAATTTGATCAAAGATGCCAGAGGCGTACTACGAAAAAGTTTGGAGGGGATAAAGAAGCCTCTACTTCCAAAAACGTATTACCCTGCAGATTTTGAAAATCTTTAAAATGCTTGAAATGATGATCTTCTAGGAAGTATTAACCACACCAAATTTCAAGATGATATATTGAAAAGTAAGCGAGATATTTCAATTAATAGAAACAAATGATTAAACTTTGACCCCCTGTAGCTCCGCTACTGAACGAGATCGGACTGATGTTTATATAAACTTTCTTGATTAAAAGGATGAGATCTATCTCCCATTTCAGTTTGTGCCTTAAAACCTGAATCACCCTGTATATTGGTAAAAATGAGAGGAAGACACTTTCTGATGGTCATTAGGCATTCCCCTCAAGGGCCTCTATTCGTGTTAGGAGTATGTACAGTTCCTCATGACTCACCCTGTATATTCTTCGAACAAAAATAATATCACTTTGAAGTGCCATTTTCCATTTTAGGCCTTCATGTTCGATGATGTTTGATATACAGGGCGTCACCAGTTTGATATTTTGAATTATTCTTGTTTATCAATATCTCAATAACATGGATTTGAAATTAATTGGTACAGGGCTTCAACGTCGTACAACGAGTCACATGTTACATCTTCAGAGCAATGTAAATAAAGTTGGCAAATCATCAAAAAAGTGTAGGTAGTTCAGTAGCCATATCGATTATCGACTGCCCTGTTATATTCAGTACCTGATGCGACAGATTGAAGCATCAGCAATTTTTGTCGTATCAATTATTTATTTAAGTTTTTTTTCTACAAGGCGCCCAGAACAACTTACCATAAATTCTATAGAGTGAACAAGAGACCAAAATAGGCTGATTAAAATCAATTTTATTCCTAGATTTTCTTTCGATATTTCGAAATCCTTAGAAGGTATACTGCTCTGAAATTCGTAGGGCATACTATAGTTATTGTGCATGGAAAACATGTCATACGAATTCAATCAAGAATCAAGATACAGGGAGTTAGGTATTTCGCATTCTCTTTGATAAAAATTAATGTAACTTTTTTTGGAGTACAAAACTGACCATATTTTGATATTTCGATGGATGACAAATTCAATCATTCAACTTTTTTCTAACTGCGGTGTTTTTATAATTTTTCTTGGTTTTCGAGATATCTAACAATCTAATTCATTTTGGTGCTTCTCTATACTTGTTTATGATAATGACGCGATTATCAGTGTGTTATCATTTGGGTTGAGTAATCACAATAATCATGTTTATGAACTACTTTAGCATATGATAGTAGTTGTTGGTCATCTTGAAGGACTTTGAAGATGCTGTGATTTGGTCATTATGACAGCAAAAAAACGTTTTCCAGCGACAAAACGGAACCTAACATTTGAAACCATGACAACCATAATTGTGAACGAATCTTTGAAGGCGTTAATGTCATTCTTTTTTTAATCTGGCGTTGTCAGAAAAGTGTCGAAATGGGAAAATCCATCAACAATAATATATGATTTATGCATTCATTACACACAAACTTTTTGGAGGCTTCGCACCCCTTCGTGGTCTCTTTGGAGACCTGCAGAAGTGCAGAACATCTCTTTTCAAAGACTCGTTCATCCGAACAGCCAGGCTCTGGAACACATTGCCAAGGGAGGTGTTCCCCGAGGCATATAACCTCCAGAAATTTAAGAAGAACACCAATTTCTACCTCATTTCACTTGGTTCTCTGAACATTACAAGATATCCCTTTTCGTGGGAACATAAAAAAATGGATATATTAATTCGTAATCCTTGTAGACATCAATCAAGGGCTGATGCTAATATACTTTTTTTGATAATAAACTCTGTGGAACGACCGATTAGTTATATCGAAATTGGTCAAAAATAAATAGTTATTCGAGAAAAATATCTGGGAAGTCACTGGCATTCGTAGGTACCTACTGAAAAACAGAAGCCCAAAATGAAAAATTTAATAAAAAAAGTCTTATTATTTTTGTTCAAAACATTACGATAGAGACAACTTGCCTTGATGAATAAATTATTATCAACAAGATAGAAACAGAGGGTGTCAAAGGTGGAGTTTCAGAATATATTTTCCTCACCAAAGTTTTTGAATATTCATAAATGAACATTTTAAACTGGGTTTTATCGGTATAAGGAATTATAATGATTTGTTATCCACATAATAGGCAATGTTAGAGGCATTATACACGCAAAACTTTTTTGTTCTTCAAATTTCCACTGAAATAAAAACGAATACAAAAAAGTATGTTTTTCGGCAACCGTCCGGGAAGTGCTCAATTCCCGGGCGCTTTTTCTTCGAGAAAGTAATCACATCGTTGATTTCACTGTAACTATGGAAATTTTGGTAGATAATGTTTTGATAAATGCAGATGATAATTACCATAGCAGCGGAATATCGGCTGACAGCTATTTGACATGAAATTGGTTGACATTTGGATTTTTGAAAGTTTGGTTGCAATTATCGCTAATCGCTATATAAACTATCGAAAGCGAAAGCGATAGTGAGTTTGAAAATGTCCATACGAAATTTCCAATGTAGCAGTTAGTAGGTATAGGTATTCTGTTCAAATTTCAGTATTTGATACAAATATGAATCAATAAAGAAGAAATTGTATACCACAAAGAAATATAATATGGAAATGTGTACCGTCTCATTGAATTGTTATTCTACCTATGGTTGCCGAAAAAATTGTGTACTCAACACGTCCAGAAACAATTTATTTGGACTCGCCGACTTCCAGGACTCGCCTACGGCTCGGCCTAGAATTTTGTCTACTCGTCCAAAAAAACAGTATTTTCCGGACTTGTTACGTAAATTACTATTTCGCCAAATCTCCGAATTTTTCGAGATAATAGCATTTTAAGAATCAGCTGCCTAATTTATATATAATTTATATCATGAGAAATTGAGGTTTTCGGCATCTATGCTAATAATCCATTTACGGCTTGAAAATACAAACGTCTTCTATAGTGGCCAGGTAGCCGTGCGGACAGAGTGTCTATATTCTAATTCGCATTCGCTTGCCGGTCGTGGGTTCGATCCCCGTCGACTGCAGAAATTTTTCTGATGGCCCAAGAAAGTGTTTGGGATCACACGTTAAAAGGTAAGGCCCCCGTCATTCCTTGCTCGCACAAGACTTTCGAAGACTTTTGAGGGTTGCTCGTAAGGGGGCAACCGAATGACGGATAGAACAAATTTTAGAACAAATTTAGTAGGCGAACTTTGAAAATGATTTTGACAGCTATACCGGGTGTTTCAAATTCAGTCCCCACCATTGGGATCTCGGAAACTGAAAGATATATGAAGATGGTCAAATGGGGACGAAGTTGCGCATTTACCTAAATAACAATACATGCCGCTTGAAAAATTTCGAAACTCTAAATATGTCCGAAGATATTCGAGAAAAACGAAATTTTCGAAAATTGATTCAATGTTTTTCTAGCTTTATTCATTGTAGAATTGCGTTTTTGCATTGCCATTTTTTCTCTACTACATGATGGTGCTTGACGTGCTGACGTTTCGTCTGTTGGCCACTATCATCAACTTAATTTTTCACAATGGGCGCCATATTAGCTTTTGCCTGTTTTGAATAGAACTTGTTATTATTTTTTCAATGGTGTATCACAAGTTGCCATTCTTTCAGAAAAAATCGGAGATATTTAAAATACAATCAGTCAGTTAGCAAATCTGAGATGGTGAAAAAAATAGAAATGCAAAAGTGCAGTTAATTTCAAAATCCTACAATAAATGAAGCCAAACAAAATCGTTTTTTCCGGATATCTCGCCGGACATACTTGAAATTTCGAAACTTTTTAAACGACCTATTGTTATTTAGGTAAATGCGAAACTTCGCTACAGTTTATCCATCTTGGTATCTCTTATAGTGTCCGAGATCCCATTGGTGAGGATCGAATTTGAAAAACCCTGTATACATTCTAGTTCTCATGATTTATAACTTTACCGAACTTCTCTCTTATCATCAATATTTTATAGAAACAAGTTGGCTCGAATCGCAATCATGTATTTTGAAGTAAAAAACCCACTGTAGTACTTTTATGTTCCAATTACTTTTGTATACAAGGCAAGCCTACTTCGTGAATATTTCCCATAAGTTGAATGAGAATTATGCAGCAAATTAATAAAGTACGATCATCTCGCAAACTGTGATATGTTTTGAGGATAACAAAATATAACTCTCCTTTTCTTAAAAAGACTAGTGTTGAATTTTTTCTATTGAAAATAGCACTAACTTATATATCAAAAAAGTTGTCGTGCGTGCATTATTCATGCCACAAATATGGCTCATGTGTAAGGACAAATCAGATGATTTGCCCCAAAATGTTATAAATTTTATGATATTCTAAGTTTTGTTAGGGCCATATGTCGCCGCTAGAGGTTTTTTTTCGACATTCTGAAAGAAATGGTTGATTTAAAAAAAATCAAATGCATTGCTATAATTTTTTTATCATGAAAGAGAGCTCGTGAAAACAGCATCTCGATATCTTCTTCCTAACCTAAAATTTAGGCGAAAGAAAGGTTTATACGGAAATCCCTCGAGTTTAAAATTTTTTTAAGTAATATTTGTTTCATTACATTTGTTGTGGCCCTAAACGGGACCGATTGGAAAGAGCAAGGTCTTTTATACCCTCGTATATATACTGCAGCTTCAATTTCGGCTTCAGTATGTTACTTATTTCAGAACGAATCTGGTTTTTCATAAATATAATAAGTTCACATCAATATTGTGTACTTATTATTTTTCCGCATGCTCTTTCACTTATGAATTTCAGATTCTGAATTTGATATAGGTTTTATGCATTTGGATAGGTTAATATTGAGGTAAAAATGGAATGTTTTGGGTTTTTCCAATCGAATAATTTGTAACCCAATGTGTCTTCACATATTTCAATATGACTGTTGATTACTAATGAATATATGTGGCAATAAATTGAACAAATCAATCGACATAATGACTACATATTCTTGCAATGTACAACAGCGAAATTCACCATATTTATTCCTGATAGTGATATTTATTTGTCAGTATTTCTGGTGCGCTACTGGTTTGTATAACCATCAGTGATAATGTCAAATTATAATATCCAACCCAAAATATCGTTTGCTATTATCACTCTTATCTTTTACAGGGTCAGCAGTTGGGTCAATAGTCAAAGTAGATATCGCCGGGTGTGGAGACAAGGCAAGATGCCCCCTAAAAAGGAATACCAATGCCACCATGAATATTGATTTTAAATCAAGTAAGAATTACCTATTATAAAAATAAAAAGCCGCGATGATTCCAATATCTACTTTTCATGATATTGTTTTAATTAGCGAAGTAGCTTATTGATCATTTAAAATTTTCGTGGCTGGGTAGCTTTTTTTTGGTAGGGCTGCACAATAACCACTAATACTAAAATTAGAGGTTATACCTACCTGTCAATGAGAAAATACATGTTTTCTAATTTCGACATGTACCTGTAGTTTGACACTTTGCAAAACTGGAGGAAATTTTGAATCATCTTACTTATTTACTCGCTTATTTACGTAACCATCAGTTGCGTAAAGTAAAATACCTATATATTATATAACTGGTGATGAAATGTTAATTCCGAAACGTTACAAAATGGAAATATGGATGGAAGAAGAGAATAGCACATTTTGTGCTGTTTCCTCGAAATCTGTACTTGAATCAGCCATTTATACTTCAAAGTGACGGGCGAAGTCCACTTGGCTACTAATTTTTTTACATATATAATCGGTACCAGGCAACCAGATGACGAATGATGAACGTCCCTGATTGATGATTTTTAGTCAGAGACGTCACACACCAATGTATGACGTCACTATGACGTACTTTCTATGACGTGATAATCACGTCATCGTTTCGACGTCGAGTGAACGTCACTTAGATGGGTAAAAGAAGACGTCAGTTTCATGACGTTGCAGGGACGTCCTGTCGACGTCCATTTTTCCCAGACCTTCTCTAAACCATGGATACTTATATATTATCATGTGAAACAGAAGTATAACTCATGAAAGCGAATCAACATGCAAGTTTTATCCTAATTATTAATATACCCGAAAAGTAGTAGACAAACTTTGAAAAACTTTGACACACTGTATATCTCGGAAACCAACAAGCTATGTATATATATAAATGATTGTTTGGGTATACCTATATTGAAACCGTAACTCTTATGACGTTGCAGTGACGTACCTATGACGTCTAAAAATCACGTCGGTGTGACGTACCAATTAGGTGAGCTTCGTCATTTAGGAAATTTATCAATAATTTACTATTTAGATTTTTGTTGGGTGACAAAGAATGCATCAATATACATTATTCAACAAAGTGAAGCCAAATTCGCCAACATCCTTTCCATTGCTATCAAGCTATTCTTTGTTTGCTTACATCTCGCCGACACAAACTACATCATTTTTGATACAAATACGAGTAACTGATTGCATTCTGATGGAGATGCGTACTGAAGGATGGCGCTGCTGAATAGGCGATTGAATGAACATGACACAGGAGGGACCCACCAAGCAGGCACAACAATGCATAATCAATATTATATAATGTCATCAGAGGCTAGTGGTGTTTATCACACCATGTTGAAGGAATGTTTTTTACGTTTTATAGTCAAATTCAATCGTCATTTTGGTGAGCGAATGACGTCAATACGACGTGGGTAATATGACGTCATTGGGCTGTGACTTATTCACGTCATTATCACGTCAATGCGACGTCAACTAATGACGTCACCTTGGTCATTCAAGTGACGTAAAAAAGACGTCACTGGAACGTCATCTGGTTGCCTGGGTAGAACTCATGTAGAACTATAGTAATCATTTCTGTTCAAGCGAAGTTTCCCATCAGAATAAGAAAAAAATATTGTAGCTACATACATACATATTAACTAGTTAGGAAACGCATTTTGTGTTACTCTATTGTTTTGCGGGATCTCACGTCGCACGTCCCGCAAAATCCCATCGTCACACAAAATGACGCCTTTCCTTACTGGTTACGTAAATATCTATTGTCGACGTACAAGCAGATTATTTTTGAAGTTTGTAGCTTCGAACCCAAGCAAGCAGATGACGAATGGTCACGTCAGTGTGAACGTACTCAATAGGTGATTTTTCACTTTCATGACGTTGGAGTGGCGTATTTATGACATCTAAAATCACGTCTCTGTGTAAGAATTTGGTGAACTCTCTATTCAGAAAATTTATCAAAAATTTGCTATTTATAGATTCGTGTTACTAAACAAAGTAAAGCTAAATTCGTCAACATTCGTTACATTGGTATCAAAGTATCCTTGGTTTGCTTACATCTCGCCGACACGCACTCCATAATTCTTGATACAAATACGATATAGTAACTGATCTTATTCAGATGGAAAGACGATTGAATGGATATATTATTGAATATAACATCCGAGGGACCACCAACCAGTCCAATCAATATTTTAGATGTCATGAGAGTTCAGTACATGAATATTGTCACAGTGTTCGAGGACACTTTCTTTCGTTTCATCACTAAATTTCAACGTCATTTTGACGTCATTTCGACGTCACCGTTAGGTGAGTGACTGACGCCAGTAAAGGTGAGTAATATGACGTCAATGGGATGTGACTTATTCACGTCATATGACGTCAAGTTCTGACGTCACCTTGATGGTAATTCAACTGACGTAAAAAGACGTCACTGAAACGTCAACTGGTTGCCTGGGTAGTTGGAATAAAAATAGTCACCTTATCAGCTATATATACTTATTAATCATATCTCCTTAGTGATTAAATGGGGACTTTTACCTTTCCTATAATAATTGGTAGCTCTGGATTGACTGACAAATCACAGTTATAATGCATTTTCTCAATAATATAACACTGATGACAAAAATAATAATACTTGTATCAATGTTCAAATTAATATATGCTTATCCTAATATGACCCAAATATGTGACCGACTTCCATAGCGATCTTAATCAATCATGGCCGTGCAATGGGGAAGCATATCAATCTATGGGTAGAAAAAACCTTAAATAAAAGAAATTTCGCCTTGTTACATCCTACACTATATATATTTCAACATTCTCCGTATTACATACAGTTATTGAGATATTAGCAAAAATCTATCTTTTGGTCACCATTCTCCATTGTATATACCAAATTTCATGATGTGTTCTGATAGTGTTTTGAATCAACCTACGCAGTACGCAGTACATGGTCCCGATAATTTTATAGGGTCAGCATTGCTATTTCTCAATACGTTGATGTGATTATGAGACTATACATATATGGGTATAAACTTCATGTTCACTCGAACACTAATATGAGTTCAAATGAACATCAACGTCCATTAATAGCCGTCATGCCAAGTCTCTAACACTTCTTCTGGGTAAAGCCACCGAACATCAACTGTTGATGTTCGGTGGTAAAGCAGAGCAGTGGCTTATCTGCAACGCCAGTAGATTGTAGGTTGGTCGTTAATCCTTATCTAACTTTAGTTTTCTAACACTAGACTGCTGATCAAGCCTAGGATTTTCTTGACAGTTGAATTTTCCCCTCAGCAGGCGACAGATATATCTGTTCTAGGCGATTCAGCCTTTGGTGCACTTATATACAGGGTGTATCTAAATAACACCGAAAAAATTCAAGAAGTAATTCCTGGTGATATTTTAGGAAATAAAGTTCATATGAACATGTGTCCTCACTTGCTTCGTTTCCGAGATACAGGGTATTAATATTTTCTATATTCATTACTCAATTACTCAATTGTCTTTCCATCAATTCCAATGAAACGTTGTGGTTTTGTTAATATTAATATGGAGCTTCTTCTGGCGCAATTAGATTCGAAATAATATGTCCAGTGGCGTCACAGTGGGTAAATTTATCGATATTTATGGTAAAGGTCATAGTGCGCCATCGGTTTTTCTGAGTTTCATATTTTTATTAGATTGAACTATTGAAATAACAACTTTTTTATCCCTTGTGTAATTTTTGTATCTAGCTCAATTTTTGAGGAAACAATAAAAATTCGATTTGACTCAAAATTTTAATGTAGGCGTGTTTTCAAGGCATCCATTGAGATTACTCACTAACCCCGATTAGAATCAAATTTTGGGTCTTTCTCAGTCTCCAACCATACTGAATTTCGGCACCATGAAAGCTTATACAGGGCGGTACAAATAAAAACAATCATTACTTCAAACTTCAACATCCTGTATCTCAGAAACGGAGCGAGTTAGGACACATGTTTATATGAACTTTATTTGCTAGAATATCACAAGGAATCACCCCTTGAATTTTTTCGGTGTTATTTAGATACACCCTGTATAATACATGGGGAAGTATATCATTATGTTCCGCGGATTCGGTCGCAATGTTAACTGCTAGAGCGACAGGTGTCAGTCTCTGCTAGGCTCATCATCTTGAGGTGGTACTGCAGAGGGCAGTGTCCTGTGAGAAAGCCTAGCTGTGATACTCTAGCTGTGATAAGCTTTAGCTCTGTTTTGCTGAGAGTTGCTCTTTGGCTCTGTTTTGCGAATGGTTGATGAACATTTTCTACTAGGACTTTTCAGTCTACTGCAACGCCAGTATGTATCCATATTCAATTTTATTGTTAAGCATTACCTTGTACTTGGATATTCCTGATACATGATGAAGAAATTTGTTTTCGGAAAGGAAAACAAATTTAGTCTGATCGATAGTTTATTGAAAACCCTCAGTATAACAGAAATATCCGATCCATTTCATAGCACCATACTTCGGATACGAATATTATTCAGCAGTTGACCTTGTATGCAGCATCAGAGATTTATACTAAAATTACATAGAATATATATATGCTATCTACTATCTACTTACCCACCTATTATATGTATAGTCCGTTAAATATAGGTAGTTAATGATGGTTTCATTGTTCTCATGTATAATTCAACATGGTTAATTTAACTGGAAAAAGTTTGCAGTATATAGAATAAAATAATAAACTGTTGAAAATTTTGAAACCACAGAAAAAAATCAAAAAATTTCAAGACTGCCATTGAATAGGAAAAAGCAGAATACATTCATCAGAAATGCATGGAATTTGAATAAGACCCAACAAAAATAGTAATTTATAACAAGGGAAAAAAGTTGGTGACTTTAGCTCGACGTTGTGTTGGAGACAAAAGACCGTGAGCTAAAATCTAATACTTTTCCCGTGTATAATACACTATAACCATATTACATTATATTAGAATCAAAAAATTATGTAAGTACGTTGAATTTGAAGTTTTTAACATGAATTGCGTTGCAGGCATCTTAATCATTCTTTGGGAGTAATCAAATATCTGTCAGTCTAATTCTGTGATTAAAGTTTGAAAAATTACAAACTTAGTCGTTGTTTAGTAATTTACGTAACTGCGAAGTGGAATGGAAGATAACAATATAGGACTTAAAGTTCTTTCTCGGAGGCTTATTATTTTTCAGAACTAACACAACAAAAGTCATCAACAGTGTACATATTATATAATAATAACAAAGTACTCATCTGATCAAAAGTGACATTTTATAACCTGTCAACAGAGATGAAATGTCAAACTTTTCTCCTGTCACAGAAAAATAGTAGATTCAAAAGTGACAACTCTGTTTGACGAGCGAAAGCAAAATTTGCGTGTCAAACAAAGTCACTTCTGATTCGAATGAAACATGTTATTTTTTCTGCATCCGAAACAATTAACTCAAATTGATATGTGCAGTAACCACCAATATACCATGCCATGTGTATGCAATGCAACAAATAATCCGTGTGGTGAGAATATTCTACCTGCATTAACAGCAGGTTTATTCAAAGGATGTTCGAATTGTAGGTTCAATATGAATACAATAACCACAGAGTATATTTGTGTATGGACCAGGTGCTCTAATGGCGAATACCGCGCGAGTGCCAGGTATAGGAACAATACTAATAATAATAGCGAATATTCATTTCCCTCCATACTCCACTGTGTTTGGCTTGATAATCAAAAGGAGATAAACAATATCGTTGTGTGAGACAAAAAACTATTACTGGCCGTGATTATTCAAGACCATGTTATCCATCCCGAGAATAACGAATGAAATACAGATCAAGCAAGTATGTGATTCTTGAAGGCTTCCCTGATCAATACAAAAACTTTACTATAAAAAGTTGTATTTATATCTCCAGCATGGGTATGAAATGCCAAATCTGCCAAAATCGGAAACAAATCAGGTATGCGTCCCAACCCAACCAACCATAACAATGTTTATTCTTGATGACCTCTAGTACATCCTTTTTAGTTCCTAAAGTTCAACTTTAGCTCCTATAGGTACTAAATTGTGCTCGAAATTGTGTCAGTAATAGAAACGTCAATTCAAGAGCTAATTTTGGTATTAATTGTGTCGGTTGCAATGGAGTTATTTTTTATTGCCTCCTTGACGAATAAAGATGAAAGATTATACGCTATACATCCGTGTGTTCCTTTGTTTTCAAAAATAAATATTTGAGATCTGAAACCTAAATATGTATATACCGAGTGGCCATGAGAACCAGGCCGCCCCTGTAAGTTTTGAATCGTTGAAAATGAAATTTTGAAAATTTAAGTGGTCATATAACATCATATTTTACATTCACTGATATGAATATGCTTCTCAAGTTACTTCCGGTGTCGTCGGAAATGACCCGAACTTTTGATTTTCAAATGATTTATGCCCTACTTCTGATTTCACCGGAAATAGTACTAACAATCTACTATTTCTTGGTCTTCAAATATAACACACTGTAAATTATATTTTTCCATTCTGCACAGTTTTCTGAATCTGATTTTATTTCACAGAAGCTGCACTTCAAACATTAATATTTATTTTAATTAAATTTTTAGTATTTCATCTAACACTATGCTATGACTGCTCCTATCAATATTAATTGACTTATATTATGCCATCAGATAAATTTAAATCCTATCAAGAATGAAAGAATCATATGATCCAATAACAAATTAAGTTCATCAACATTTTTTTTCTAATTGAACCATATTTGTATCGTGGTACCCTTCATTAGTACTAATAATAATAGTAGGGGAGGCAAAAAGGCTAAATATGGATTTATTCGAGCGTCGTGGGGACCTATATTATAGGTTGTGAAGATTAGATGCAAAAAAGAAAAAATGGTATGTGATATATGTCCTTTGCCTGGTGGGGGGAGTGTGTACAGGTTTTCAAAAATGTAAAAAAAAAAACAGTTGCAAAGAAAAACTCGAGCGAATCAGATATCTACTACAGTGTATGCGCCCCACGTGTTTCTGATAACCGAAAAATATCAATCTGCCGGTTTGCATGGTGAGGGTGGCCGTACGAATCAGGGGTAGAAAATAGGAAAAATAATATATTCGAGTGCGTCAGATATTGAATAGGGATGTTAAGTGAGCCCTCAAGTAGCTCCTATTCAAAATACTGACAATTTGGACGCGACCAATAGTCATGATCAATCTCCATCGTCCGTGGAATCATCTTCATATTCGAAGTGCCCTTCGTCCAACTCTGAAAAAACAAGCGTACTATTCGCAGAAATGGTAAAGGCATTTCTGTGGCCCCGGGGCCTCCACAACATAGGGGCCCCCACAATAGAGAAAAAAAATCTTTCGACTTTCGACGAGTAAACACTAGTGAACAACTTTTCCTTCAATATTTTTTATGGAAAAGTTAAGTTCGCTGTTTTACCCTTAGTACTTTGTAGAAACATGATTATATTATTCTTAAATATTGAAAAATAATTTAATTACATTTGTTCACTCCAATCGGAAAATATCAATTTGTCAAAATGGCCCTGATGAGCAGTTGTTGCCATTTACTACCCATCTTGATAGAGTATCCCAATGACTGAGTGGGGCAAAATACGTGTCCGTAGCCTCAGAGTGTGGGTGTTCGTTTCCGCGTTCTCATTAAAGAGGACTATGGAAAAAAACAATCTACTAAGGTATTTTAATTCGACATTCTTGAAGATGAACGTTCAAGAATTACATTCCCGAACATTGAAATTGCACTGACAATGTATTTGGTTTCGATAACATCGAATTGCACTGGAGAAAGCTCATTTTCAAGAATAAAGATTATAAAAAAACTGGCTTCGAACTTCGATGGGAAAAAACTTTCTTTCCGATTATACTTGTTTTTGACAATATTTCTACTGGCTGTTTCTCAAGTACGCGTAAAAATTACAAGAGCATGTTGCTGACGTGAAAATGAGACGAAAAGTTCGAATAAAGATATGTCCGCAAGTTATTCATTTCTGAGATATAAAATGTCAAAGTTTGATTCTTTTTCCTGTTTTTTGTTAGTAAATTCAGAAATGAACGTCGTATTAGACGCCCTCGAGTTTTTCTAACGATCGATTTTTTTTTACTAATCTGATCGGCTGCCCTGTTCGACCCCATATAAAGGGCTCAGGTATGGAGGGAGCACAAGGTGCAAGGTTACCCACCTTATGTTATTCTTCCGCGCTCGAGTAAATCTCGAAATCCCTGCTTGGACTCTCCTACAATTCATACTAAGCTGTACCTATCAAATTATTTTCGGTACATGCAAATTAAAGTGGAGTCTATGAGTCATATATACTGTCATGATGCATACTTAGATGGAAATCTGAAAATTGAATTGAAAGTTATTCACATTCGGAATGTCCCTTATCTGCATGGTGTGTTTGAATTTAGTATCTTACACATAATCCAAGTATCAAATAATCCATTCGAAAATCATTGTTTCAAATTTCACATATTTCTCTTTGTGATATAGTATAAGTAGGTCGGAACTTAATGTTTCATAATTTTCAGATGTGGACTCATCGAATGTGACAGCAGTCGTTTATGGAATAGTCCTCGGAATCAAAACAAGTTTCGCATTGCCGAATCCCAATGGCTGTGTCGACTCAGGAATAAGCTGTCCAATAAAGGCTGGAGAAACTTACACTTACAGTACAACATTGCCAGTGGAAAGCTCATATCCAAGAGTAAATATATTATCTTAATATCTTCTTGACATGAAATTAGTTGTAATTTTGATTTTTGAAAGTTTGGTTGCAATTATCGCAATAAACTAAAAGTGTCCATACGAAATTTCCAATGTAACAGTTAGTAGGTATAGGTATTCTGTTCAAATTAAGAATTAATTAAGTAGAAATCGTATTCTATTGATTTGTTATTCTACATGGTTGCCGAAGAATTGTGTACGCAACACGTCCAAAAACAGTTTTTTTGGACTCGCAGACTTCCAAGAGAATCGGCCTAGAATTTTGTCTACTCGTCCAAAAAACAGTATTTTCCGGACTTGTTACGTAAATTACTATTGTATGTACGTATTTCACGTGTGAAGAAGAAAAACTTTATTTTGCTAAGCCAACACCGATTTTAGATCGTGTATTGGGCCCTCAAACGTTTCTAGTGTTTCAGCTGTCTTCGCAAAATTTTGATATTTCATCAGATGGATCAATTTAAGCATTAGCTGATTTTATTCCTAAAGTTCAGAATTGTATGATTTTTCGGAGCCTATTTCAAGATTTAAAATTATTATCTCTCCTGATAGTTCATAGAGATATTGCTAGTTGTTTGGATTCTGGGAATATTGGTATATTTTTATTTATATTCCATTTCATTTCAGGTGACTGTGACCATCCAGTGGGAACTTCAAACTGATGACGGTAGCGATTTGATCTGTGCAAAGATTCCAGCTAAAATAATTTGATTATCTTATTATTGTCAATCTCATTTCAATAATGAATGCCACTTAATAAAAATATAATACAACCATTGAGTATATATGAAAAAAGGTTCAAACCACGATTTAAAATGTTTGCTTTATTATGAGCCATAAAATATTGTGTACAATAGATTTCCATCATTAATTTCTATATCTAAGTCTCACTTTTATGCAGAACTTGGAAGGATGGAAAAAAACTAACCTATCTAAAATAACATTGATCTATTTTTTAACAAGAATGGAAAGTATCTGTACAAAAGTATAAAAATAGTTTTTCTTATCTAAAATGTACACTTTATACAATAGGCACTACAGTACTTTATGTTTTCAGACATTCCTAAATTTAAAATTAATTAAATGGAATTACTAGTTTTTTCGGTGACAATATAACCATTTAGATTAAATACTAGGCTTCCATAGTGAATATTTTGAAAAAGTGAGAATAGTCTAAAAATTTCCAAAGTATTGTTAAATGGAATTGACATGACTAGTTAAGAAAACATACCTACAACTTCAATAATTAAAGGTGATGATTCATTATGTCCAATATAAGAACTAGGCTAAAAAATGCATCGAATTTGAGACAATTTAACGCTTACCAACCTGATTTTTTCCTAATTCTTCAAACTAACACGTTCAGCGGAACGAAATTCTCTAGGCATATTACTGAGATTTTTCAGTCATATAGTATTCAAGGCAATGATAAATATATACTATACTAAAACCGTGGAAACGGTAAAATGAAGCCATGGTTGCATTGCTTCAAGATGGGAGCGTTTTTGAGGTTCTTAGAAAAAACAAAATACGAAAGTGGGGCTAGTATAGTTTGGTGAAGCAAAGGAGCATATCTAGACATCTTAGTCTGCAATAGGTACCTACATTCATATTTTCCAAATCATATAACATATCACTATTAATAATTAGCAATGATAATTGCATTGATATTTAATGGGATTATTGTTGTTAGAGCTGATCGGTACAGTCTTTCCAAATTTAGTTGGAGAGCCTTGATTAAGGAATGTTCGCCACGCGTTTGAACATTAAATGGATCGAGCTCGCGTCATATGTCTTTTGCTGGAGTCACCCCAATTGACTTTGGAAAGACTATACCAACATTCAACGATATTCAGATACTAATGATTTCTAGAGAATAGAGTGGTACTATACTAGAAACCTTGAAAAACATTAGTTTTATTCTAATTCGTGCCCATACATGGAGAGCTCCGAACCAGGTGAATGACAGAGAAATCGTTAACGATAGAGTTTCTCAATGAAAGACGTTGTAGACACTTTGGCAAGCACTGACAGTTTGACAGAATCACAAATAGATAAATGAGAAAAGGAGGATCGTAAATCTAGTTATAATTTTATTTGCCTGTGTTTTATTTTAAATTGACAATGTCTATACTAGTTATGCAAGTCCCATGAAGATAAATACTTATTTACTCACTTTCTTACATGACATACATTTCAAAGGCGTGTTAAATTGAGAATAAATTGGAAAAAACAATCAAATGCAAGTTTGTGCAGTTTCAATTTGAACTGTAAAAATGCTGCAGGACGAATCATTTTAGGTTCAATGCCACAAAAATGGAGAGAAATCATGAAGTGGTCAGCGTGAAATACAAGTTCAGCCACTAACAATTGCAAGGTATGTATTGAATTTTTTCCGAACATAATATATGAACAGGAAAAAATCGAGGAGACTAATACCATATAGGTAATTAATTTCAAAGGAGTTCAAGATGAAATAGAGTTGAACATTCAAAATCCAATTCAGAGCAAAAAAGAAATCAAGATTTTCTAGTTAAAAGGATGATGATTTCAGGGAACAAACAGAAAAAGTGTTGATGAAACAAATTATGGCAGATTTTTGGATTTTGAAATAACAAAAACAATATTTAAATGACAAATTGAACATAGTAGTGAAGTTGATATGTATAGGGATGATGTACCTCAAAGTTGTTGATGCTTTGATGGTGATAGATGAGATGCAAGAAGTATGAGAAAAGTGCTGGTGATAAAATTTACAGTAATTTTCAACCTGGTATTTTTGATGAAAATGGTCAACACTTGAACATTACAATTATAAAAAAAAGATCTGTGTGGACGCGAGACAGATTTGGATGAAATGTTGATTCTTGGTATTTTCTTTATTGCTTCATAATCTGTAGTTGTTACTAGTTTATCGTGTTCCAGTTGGAAAAAGACCATGCACAAAGAAGAGTTTGAGAAAGATATATGAGCTATATTCCTTTCACCAATTTTAGCTGAGATTAACTAGGATTCCCAGAAATTTGTCATAGATTGATCATCTCCCATCCTCACCTCAAGTAATCTTAGGTTTCATTTGGTATTGTTAGCTGACATTTTGTCAATCATTACATGTCAAATCATATCGATTTCAATTAGTTAGGAATTCCAGAATTTTGGTCAACTGATAATATTATCATAAAGTGGTCAGAGGAGAAAGTGATGGGTATATTACGGATGAAGAATACATTATTTTTCTGCAAAATGAAGAAGGTATAAAAAATGTTCTAGATTTCAGAATGAACTGCTGAATGGGTTAGGTTTCCTTTCCTTGATTGAAAAGTTTTTTCTATAGATTAACACAAGTCAGTTTCATATTACTTCCTTTTGCTCAGTTGGTGAAAAGACTATACTCCATCTAAACACAAATCATTAATTTCAATCATGTCCTTGTTTTGCAATAAAACGATCTGCTTCAAAATAGCTTGTGGTTATGCCTGACTGACTGGCATGTCGGGTCAAAACAATACAAACACCTCAAATCCCTCGAAGAACTCATTTTTGTATCACTCACAATTTATTGATTATATTCAGGGTGTCCCAGAATAACGTTCCTATACTCCAGGAGGTAATTATTCAGATGAAAATAAGAAAAAATGTTCCTAGCAACAGCCTTTTGCAAGTAGGCCCTTGAATGCAGTTTTCCTTCAATTATCTTTGTTATCGTTGATCCCAGAATAATGAAATTTAGTACCGGAGGCTTGTTCGATCTCACAAATTCGTTTTGATTTAACATACAGGTAAAACGCGTAACCAATGCTATAAAAATGCCCCTACTTTTTTTGAATTAAGGTTCCTCTCATTTCTTCTACTAAAATAAGATTTTCCAAACACTTTCATATAAAAAGGCATACTTGTTAAAAAGCTGTTGAATGAACCGTTTTGGAGAAGTGTTATTTTTCATTTTGATGTCCGAAAAAATTCACAACATTTTGAGCGCGTGAGCACCTATGATGAAAAACTAAGAACTTTATAATTAAAATCTCACATTTCCACTTAGTTTTATGTTATCAAGAGTTTAACGTAATGTTGATTTTTTGAGAAAATATATCTCTAGCCTTAGGGCTCCAGCGCCCTTAGGGCGCATTTTCGGACACATGTTGATAAACATTTTTTCTTATTTTCATCTACAGAATCGACTTACGGCGTATAAGAACGTTATTCTAGGACACCCTGTATAGTGGAATATAGTCTATCCTCATCTCTCCATAAAAGAACATGTGGGTAATCAAAACAATAGTGAATGTGCTTAGTTGCAACTGAAAGTGCTTCTATTTTCATGACCAGCAAGATTTATTGCCATTATTGTCTAGTGTGAAGTGGTTTGAATGGTGTATTCAAGCACTAGTTTGAGGATCAAACATCAGTTTTCAATATGCATGTAACACATCATGAGCATCAAGTGAGGCCAGCAAAACTTTCATCACCAAATCTTAAAACTTATGACAAGCACTAATGCATAAGACCTGTTCGTTTGTGTTTGTTCCGAGGTTTGCTCTACCTGCTAAACTTGATTTTTTTATATAACTTTCTATGATTACACTAAGCCATGAACAGAGACAACTATGGGAACAAAATAAACTTTAGCGAGTTCAGCATCACAAATGAACAGACCTTTTTATACTATATCTTCAAGCAATCAAACTGTCTGATTCATTCCAGTTATCAATAAGTAGGTAAGAAACAAACAATTTTAAAACATTATATCATGGTGATTATTATTTTAGACTGAAAACTGCTGATTGAATCTAGAATATAAGACTAATAATACCTGGGGAATATTCAAAATTCAACTGTCAGCTACTGTTACTTTCCTAAATCAACGAATTCACTTATGATAACCGTTTTTGCAAGTTGTCATGTTTCATGAAGGTGATTATTTGTGCTTAGTTTAGTTTTATGCTGAAAATGACCGAAATGTAATCAGAATCAATTTATGTTCAACTCGTTAACATAGCGTGAAAATACAGTATGTACACGAAAAAAGTTTCAAATTAGGAAGGTGAACATGCTGTTTTTTCAACTGGTTTGAACTTAACCAGAATATACTGAATATTGTTTGCCTTGATTCATCATAATAAGTAATTCTTTGAGGATACATATATATTCACTGATTGCATAATTTCACTTCAGAAGACAAGATTATAACTGTAGCGCACACCAAACCACCAACTATGTCATTATATTTTTTATTGATCTATTGCTATTGTTTCAAAAACGATTGCTAACCTTTCCTCAAGAGGATATATGGTATAAAACCTAAAAAGAATAGTTTTAGAATTCGTATTCCAAAAGTCAGTGAAACCTTTGATAATGCCTAGATAAACTCAAGATTATAGCCTCAGTATCAGAATAATGAGTGATGGAATGGTATGATTGCACATATCAATAAAATATACATCAAATTATTGAAAAAAAAACGGCCCCAAAATAAATGAATATTGATCTTTGGAAAAATAATTGTGGAAATGAGTCAGATCGCCTGCAAGTTATTTGGCAGTTGTAGCTTCTATCACTTTTAACAATACCAAAGTAAATCTCAAATCTCACCCCAGAAAATTCTCTACTTCAAGAACAAAACAACAAAAATAACAAAAACTTCGAAAGATTAAGTTGATACAGTTACCTTAACTCTTTTTCAAGAGCCTGTGCAAGTGATCAGAAAAGTCTTTACAGGAATATACATCAATGTGGTTATTATTGGCTATGTCTGGACTCGGAGGTCTCTGAATGAGATTGTAGTCCACTGTCTCGGTGAGCTGTTCGCATTTCCTTTTTTGTCGGCTGTCATTGGATGTCTCCCCATTCGATAACGTCTGACGAGCTTTGTAAATAGGTTCGTATTCTACTAGTTGAGCTCGGAAGCCCTCATTAGGATTGATTGTAGCCCTTTTCTGCTTGACATATTGCAAAGCATCACTGAAAAAATGATGTTCATGTTAATGATATTACCTGAATGTTCCAGGTATTTCATGAGCTCGATGTTGCTGGGATATGACCAGTAGAGGTCTAGATAGTAGTTTATATCAGTGCATGGAACACATCTTAAAGGAGAAATATTTTATTAATATTTCCTCTCTTAATCATAATCTTATTGGATGATAATGAATTGTAGGAATCATGATTTTGAGCTATACTTTTCTTTGAATTGAAATAAATTTAATAAAATGTATCATGAAGATGTACACCGAGGGGTGGGTTTCAGGTAGTTCCACTTCTGATTCAAGATAACAGATATTTTCTGGATCAGCGGGTCGAATTAGTTTTGAAAAATTGTGTTTGAAAAGATGATGATTTGGTCTCAAGGAATCAAATTTCAAATAATAAACCTAGACTATAATGACAAAATTTATCAACCAATTTTCTGACTTTTTTATTAGTTACGTTATTTTAGAAAGATCCCATTTCGAATTCTCATAAATAATAATGGAAAATATTTGAAGAATGATAATATTTGCTTCATTTCTATTTTCAGTACAGTAGGGAAGTTCAGTATTTTCAGAAAAGTGTATTGATTATTGAAAGAACTATGTATGTCTATGTGTTTAGGTGTACAAGTGATGGGAATTTATTGGCAATTGCAGGAATTTAATGGAATTTGAAGGAGAATTTTGAGATTTCAAGGGAAATTGTGGGAACTCAAACATTTGTGAAATTCACCTTGACTAGAACTGATATATCATAATGAAACTAGGTAATTGAGACAGTACAGGAACTTCAAAGCCACGCCAGCCAACAAGTAGAAAGCCCAAGAGGCAGCCATACATAGTTTTACATAAGGATTCTTCACATTGGGAGTATTTCTATGTAGACCAAGAATCCACTATTGCACCCTTGGTTGAATCTAACAAGTTGACTGGTTTTGTGTTTGAAGGGATGATGATAATCCTCTATATGAATATAAGGTGTTCGAATTTATTATTTGAATGATGCCTTGACAACTTGCTTGGAAAAAATAATTTACAGCAGACTCATAAATTTCATAGAAAACAATCAACTATTGAGCAATACACAAAATGGTTTCAGGAAAAATAAATCGACGACCCGCGCCAATTATCAAGCACTTTGTAAAGTAATTGACTCACTTAATTCAAAAAAATATACAACGGCTGTTAACTTAGATTTGTCTAAAGCTTTCGATAGTGTAGATCATAATATTTTATTGAAGAAATTAGATGCATTTGGGATCAGAGGAAAACCTCTCCAGCTAATATCTTCCTACCTAACTGATAGACGACAATACATTGCCGAGTATGATAAAGAAGGTCAGCTAATACGATCTGATTATAGAATAATAAAAATAGGTGTACCTCAAGGATCCATTCTTGGGCCATTACTGTATATACTTTATACGAACGATATATGCAATGCAACAAATGAAGAAATTGTTCAATATGCAGATTACTGCTCTATAATATTATCATCCATTGATCATGTAAATATGCAGAGGACGATTTTTTCAATGCTAGACTCCCTAGATATTTACTTCGATGCACATAGGCTTAAGCTCAATAAAGATAAAACACAAATCATAACTTTCAACCAAAATCAATCCAACATTGAAAAAACTTTCAGAAGAGACGAGACTGCCATCGATACCGTTTCGTCGATTTATTTTCTGGGCCTCACAATTGACACAAGACTTGACTGGAAATGTCACATTGAAAAATTATCGTCAAGTATATCTAGTTACAGTTACGCCTTGAAAGTTATTTCACTACATATTTCCCCAGAAGTTGCTTTACTGTCCTATAACGCTATGTACAATCACGTATCAGGTATGGAGTAATATTTTGGGGTTTTAGTAGTATGATTGATAGCTGTAAACCTTTATTTATAGAAAAGAAAATAATGACTGATATGTCTCATTATATATGAGTCAGTACTGTTTGTTTCCGAAAACATGGACTTATTTGCAGAATATACTAGAGATCATCATGAGCATCATACAAGACACAAATATCACTTATTGAATATAAAAACTAACTTGACATATGTTCAAAAAAATATCCCATTTACTGTGATACAAATTTATAATAAGCTACCAAAATCGCTCATCATTGCCCCCCAAAAAACTCAAACTCAAACTGAAACATATTCTTATATCGAAAGCATATTATACAATAGAAGAGTATTTCTCTGACAGTTGGCAACTATAGATTGCAGTCTAAAATATTTCTATATATCATTTATGTTATTTTTATATTTGTGAATTGATGTCCCACATACACTTTTAATATTTCTGTATTGTATTTGTACTATGATTTTTTTTTATAGTCTTGTTATTTTCAATGTACCATGTATTATGTATTGACAAGTTCTATGCCTATTTTTAGGCTCTGACTTCAGAGAACAAATAAATATTATCTATCTATCTATCTATCTTGACATAGAAGAAGGAAGTCTGATTTTGGATGTGCAGGACTAGACATTACGGCGCCAATGTGCAATATGTTTTTTGTCATCCTTGAATGAAATTCAAAACTGATGCCTGATAAAAATACTACCTAAATATTCAACAATGAAAATACCCATGCACTGATTCTGAACACAGAGCACAAAATTATATATTTCAAGTATACCTGGTACGAGCTCAACTCAATTTTTATAACCTTTTTCCCTTGATTTTTCCTTAATCTGGTAACACATTAACAGTCTGGAAAAATTGCCTTCAATGTGCTAGTGTGTTGCATGAAAGTTTTTACTACATAACCTCATATCTCATATCTTATCCCACAGAGAATTTTACGCAGAATCCAGTGGCGCACTCAATTTTTTGTTTCGGGGTATGGTTTTGGAGATACGACTCAAACTTATGATTTTTAAATGGAATACCCTGTATTTCATTAGATCTTTAAATTCCTATTTTTTTCCGTTCAGAATGATATCTGATGCATGAACATGAAATTATCAAAAATGGTCCAAAATCACTAAAACATTGAATTGTAACAATTGGCTTTATTAAAAAGTTCCAATTATTGGAGAAATATTTCTTTAGATTCGACACCCAAAATTATCTCCACAACATTTATTAGAAAGATCAGAGATCAATTACGCAGGTACATGTTTCGGACTTATATAAGCCCATCATCAGCCGATTACAAGATTTTAATAATGGGCATTAAAACAGTATTATGTATTATAATACTTTCCACAGTATTATACAGGTGAAATGGAAATAATACCTCTCTCAGTAAGGACTAAAGAACACAAGTACAATATCAAGAAAAGACATATCGATAAATCAAAGCTAACTGAACATATTATCCTTACTGAAGATGGACAACATATGGCAGAGTGGAATGATATCAAAATCATAGGAAAGGAAGATAACAATCAGAAAAGAAAAATCAAGGAATCCGCTTGCATTCTTCTAAACGGAGACAATAGCATTGCTTCCTGTTCAGTTAATATAGATAGAACATGGTATTCACTACTGAAAACTGAACATGAAAATGGTAGATTCAAGATCAATTAATGAAAACATCCTGTAACTCATTTGTAGACTAAAATCACTCATTCATATGTCAACATCAGTATGACACTGAAAAGTGTCAAACTATAAGCAGCACAACTTTCAGAGAAAAATATTTTGCATTTACATGTTGAGAACGGGAGCATTCGGTCCCGAAACGTCCAAAGATAAGTAAAAATTCGACATTTTTTCAATATATCTATATTTCTTTCCTTCAAACATTTTTTCAAACAAATTGTCACTGACAAGCTACTGGATTTTTCTTTTAGACTCCTTGATAGAAAAATTTATGAAATGCAGGACATTTTCGGGAAAATCATCTGATTTGTCCCACTACAAATATATTGAAATAATATGAATATTTTTATTTTATGGAAACGAGGAGAAAATACTAAAGAATCAAGTAAAATGAATGTACTACCTCCTCGATTAACCTACAGACAGTATGTTAAAACGTTGAAAATTTGATAATGTAGACAATCAAATGGGGCAAAACACAGATGTATGCACCATGGTTATATGTAATAAATAGGTGTTTTTTATTAAAACATGGAAAAATGTAGCAAATGGGTCAGTATATTAATTTTATGAGGGCCCACGTGCCCTTAAATTGCCAAAGGTGACAATCACACATCGAAAAATCAAGTTTGAGGGAGTCTGAATCAAAGTTAACCTGTAAAATGATAAAATCACATGTAATGAAGCCGGAAATATTAAGTTGTCAAGAATGATACAACAGATATTCGCGGGAATCAATGTTACCAGGTGGCGCTCGGTTTTCATTGTTCCATGTCAAAAGCCAAGTCAAAACTGAGGGAAAACAAACTCAATTGACTCAATCTTTACTCTCAATCCCATTAGTGTTGTTGTTGAACATAAACTACCATTACTTCTTCAATTGTTTAATCGATGATCTTTCATCTAGTATATATAAAAATGTCTCAACTCCACCACCATCTTCTATATCTCTATCCCCCCAACCAACCTTGACCATCTGACATCTAACATTTACATCTGACATCGACAACTGACATAGACATCTGACATTTAGGATAAGAGACAATGTTGCCACCCTGACATCCTCCTCCTTCAGGAGAGATGGCTATGATTTCAAAATAGTGACAGTTAGGAAACATAAAATACCAAATACTAATTTCCTATTAATTGTACATAATACTTATGTTATGCTATATGCATACATAATACTTATTTTACAAGCTAATGACAAATAGAAAACATGATACCAAATACTAATTTCCTATTAAATGTACATAATACTTATGTTAGGTTATACACATACATAGTACATATTTTACAAACTAATGACAAATAGAAAACATGATACAAAATACTTATTTCCTATTAATAACCTAATGTAATACTTATTTTCTGTTGTACACATGATATTCTGATAAGTGAGGGGGTAGGTGACTAGTCCTACCTG